CGCCTTCCGGTTTCTCAGCAGTTTTTTAGTTTGTTCATTGTTGCTCTTTCTGGTGGACTTAGAGAAGCCGAGGACGAATATGCTGGTCTCGCCTCAGTAGAATTCTTCATGGCACCAGTGAGAGAATTCGATAACGATTTGACCTGAAGTAGCGCAGGGGAGGAGCCCTTAACTAGACCATCGAATTCCATGTCTCTTAGTCGACTAGTGCTACCTTTTCAATTGTTCGTATAAATTTCACTGAATAATAGCACAACTGTTGGAGCGTTCGACGTTGGAAAGGCACTTTTTAGTGCGCGCCATGCCCTACATTCAGAGCTGTACTAGCACTCAGGCGATGTGACTCGTGAACTAACTTTCGGTGGCTCAGGCAGTGTATAAATCGTGTACAGGTCGGTACTTTTATCTTTCCGGACGAGTTTAGCACCAAGTAATCAGCCCAGGCGGGGGAAGCTCGGCTGGTATGGGCGGAACTCGTGCCGGAACCTGGTCCTTGAACATACGATTGGTAGCAGCGCCACTGGCCAATGAACCTCTTCCACCTCTTCAGAGACTCAATGGATCGAGCTGCACAACCAATCAATAAAGATGCCTTCACAGACCCAACGAATTCGATGATTTACATACACTTTTTAGCGGCAATTCAAAATTGTGCCATTTATGCAGATGGTCATAAGAAAAATAAATGTATAAAAATAAATGTACTTAGTTGAGTGTTAAGTACCTTTTTCTACACTTCTTCGATGACGCACGCGAATGTTAGCCACTCTGTGAGGGGCGGTCTTAGTAGAGGATTTCGCCGCTGCTTCAGTAGTGGTTTCTTCGACGGTTTCGGTGGTAGCAGCCGATGATGACCCATCATGCACAGAAGCAGAGGAGGTAGAATCTGTAATACCAGGGAACGGTGGAAGTCTCAGATAGCCTTGGATTTCCAGTTACTTCGAAAATTTTCAAATTTTTTTCCTGAGATCGGAAATTTCATCATTTAATTCAAGTTCTCCCTTTTCTGATTGCTAAAGGGTAAAACAAACACTTAATAGGCATTTTGCGCACAAGAAAGTAGCTAATCCCCCGGACGTGCCGATACAGGGTCTGAGGGATTGAGGAGGGCCTTTCCC